CAACGATTTCTTGGCTCCCACGGCTCGTGCCGACAATTATCCATACGGCATTGACTTCCCGACTCATATGGCCACCGGCCGATTCTCCAATGGCCTTAACATCGCCGATATAATCAGTAAGTCCTCTCCTCGTTTGCTTCTTCTCCAAGAAAACCCTTTCACTAAAACCCTAGTTTTGATGAATATACGTACAGGGTTATCCTTGTCTTGTGCAAATAATTCGTTTGAATTTTGACAGGGGGAATCATTTAAATTTAAATCATAACAAAACATATAAAGCATACGGATAATTTTTTTTTAATGTTATATGTATACATATATAATATTTTTACATATGCAGGTGAGTATATAGGTCAACCGGCGCCATTGCCGTACCTAAGCCCCTTTCTCAAGAAGCATAAGCTCCTCATCGGCGCCAACTTCGCCTCCGCCGGTATCGGGATCCTCAACGACACCGGAATCCAATTCGTAAGCTTTCTGATGGTTTTCTACAATATGTATCTTTCTAGAATTTAAAACTTCAATTATCACGATTTAGAGAAAAAAAAACATATTTAATACAATAAAAAACTTTTACAACTGAATCGAACGTCAAAAAAGTATTCACTAAATTTCGTTGCCGAATACAAACAATATTTTAGGTTCAAGTATTCACTGATTTTTCTTTCCCGGTCTTATAAAAAAAAAAAATCTTTCCCAGCATATAATACAGAGTCAAGGGCACTTTCGTCATTTATAATTGCCTCGTCCTACCTTGAAATGACAAAACCACCCTTCACTTATGCGGGGCATTTGCGTAATTATGCAGATAAACATCATTCGGATCACGAAGCAACTAGAGTACTTCGAGCAGTACCAAAGGCGAGTGAGCGCTATGATCGGAGAGGCTCAGACGCGGCAGCTCGTGAACGGAGCTCTGGTCCTAATAACACTCGGCGGCAACGACTTCGTCAACAACTACTACTTGGTCCCTTTCTCCCTCAGATCTCGCCAATTCGCTCTCCCTGACTACGTGGTTTATCTCGTCTCCGAATACCGCAAAGTTTTACGGGTAAATACATCAAAACTATATCACGACTCTGATTCATATCCGAGTCTTGACAAAAATATCCGAAAATCAGGTATCTATGAATATCTGTCATATCTGCATTGACAAAAATATCCGAGTTTTGTTACCGGAAACCAAAGATCGAAAACGGATATTAAAATCGAAAAGTCAGATATACTCTTGTATGAGTTCGGGTATTCTTAAAAATACAGGTTTTCCGACCATGCTAAGGATTGATTATTAAATCTTTTTTTTTTTAAAGATTCGGTACTTGTAAATTCACCCCAATATTTCCATGCTCTCTTTGGTTTTCCACAAAACTTTAAAGTTTTTCAACATTTGCCCCTTAAGTGTTTGGGTTATTCTGTTTTGCCCTAATTGTACATGTTTTTGTCTGAAATCGACTAATTGGGATATGCCCATATTTCCAGCGAAATTCAAGCCACCGTTTTTTGTGGTCTAATAACTGTTTTATGGTAATAGGATTGTTAAAATTTTATAAATATGCAGAAACTGTACGATTTGGGAGCTAGACGTGTCCTGGTGACGGGCACGGGGCCGATGGGATGCGTCCCGGCCGAGCTGGCACAGCGCAGCCGCGACGGCGAGTGTGCGGTGGAGCAGCGGCGGCGAGCCGCGTCATTGTTCAATCCACGGCTCGCCCAAATGATCAATGACCTCAACGGCGAGGTAGGATCGTCGGTCTTCATTGCAGCTAATACTCAGCGAATGCACATGGATTTCATCAGCGACCCCCAAGCCTATGGTAATAACATTTTCTTGTCAAAAATATATTTTTTTTATTGATAAACATAATAAATATGCACTATATTTTGGAGCTAAATGAGGGTTGTTCATGGATTTCTTTTCTTTTTGTTTTTTGTTAAGGATTTGTGACATCGAAGATAGCATGTTGCGGCCAGGGACCGTACAACGGGATAGGGCTGTGCACACCGGCATCGAACCTGTGTCCGAACAGAGATCTCTACGCCTTTTGGGACCCTTTCCACCCTTCCGAGAAAGCAAATCGGATCATTGCTCGTCAGATTCTCACTGGCTCCCCTCAGTATATGCACCCTATGAACCTAAGCTCCATCCTCACCCTTGATTCCATGACCTAATCCTCCGAATCGAACGGTTCTGTTGCTCTGCGTGTGTGTGTGTGTGTGTGTGTTTTTGTCAGTGAATCTGAGAGATTACGTGTCTCTTAGTTATGAGT